ATTTAGAGGGATGAAGAAGATTGATGAATGTGAAGGATTGGAGAATATGAAGAGAGAATTTGGGAAAGAGGTTGAGGGTGATGGGTGGAATGGTGTAAATGGTATGTTTATTTGAATGAATGTGATGGACTATTTATATAAAGATGGAGAGGGTGAAGAAGTTAGTTAGATTGAACTCAATTAGTTAGATTGAACTCAGTTAGTTAGGTTGTTGACTCAGTGAGTCAAGTTAGTTAGGATGAATAAGTCAGTTAATTAGAGCTTTTAGAGTTAGTGTTAAAATACAGCTAGTTTGAAGTCTTCATTGAAGTTATTTTATGGTTGACAATGGGTTGGTTAACTGCAGGTCGATGTGAGTAAGGGTTAGAACTGATATGAGGTAGATTTTTAGTGTAATTAGTGACTGAGAAGTAGACTGATATAGAATGTTAGGCCTTTGAATTTCTGCATTACTCAAGATGAATTATTATGAATCTGACCGAGGCATTGGTTTGCCTCATTTTTCTGAATTTTGCTTGAATTAAATGTGAGTGTATTTACATGCTTGAACTCTGGTTTTGTTGAATTATATATTCATTTGGTTTGTTTTAGCTGGACTGTGTTGGAGGAAAACTATCATGTATGTTTTGCTTGCATTGTGTTCTGCTCCTGATGTCTAATTGTATGAACTGAATCTGATCATGTACCACTGATTTTGCAGGTTTGCAATGTTGCAAGTTTGTATTGGCAAGGATTGAAGGAAGTTCTCTATAAGAATGATGAAGTCATAACTTTAAAACTTACTTAGCCATGAAGAAAAGAAAGTTGGAATGATTATGAAGCAATCTTGAGGATAAATGGACGAAGTTTGGAATGAAGAGTTAAGAGTGTGATAGGTCTAGGAGTTCAGGTCTAAGTTAAGGTCAATGGTCAACTGTTGACTAAAAGTTAATTGTTGACAAAAAGTCAGATGTGCATAACTTTTGTAATTTTCCGTTTTTGTTCTTGTAATTGAACTTTGCACCATTGCAATTGAATCTTGTAGCTTAGATACAATATCCTTTGTAATGACTTATAAACCAAGCAACTTGTTCCATTTTTGAATTCTAACGAAAATCTTCTTTTTTATATGAAATTTGAATTTATTTTCCCCCCATTTTCTCCATTTGACTTTTCAAACATTTCGTTCAATTTTATGCACTCTTACCATACTTGAATGGACACTTATCAAGATAAGATGAAAACCACAAAAACTTAACATGGACTTTGGTCGAAAGGTCAACCTTACATGGTTGACTTTTACAAATAGTCAAAGTTCCACCGAATGTTCTCCATCTTGAAATGATTCATAAGTTCCATCATGTTTCATACAAAGTCTTGCGGAAAATTCCAAATCAATGACTTCTACCCCAAGTAACCAAGTGAGCCATACTTTGAATGATGATGAAACCACATGAAACCTTATTTGTATGAGAAATTCATCAGATGATGGTTATGGTTAGACCATAAACCTTAAAATCACCTGATAATTGCAAGAACATTGAAATGAATATCAATCCATGATCCATGCTATCTTGGTTGAAAAATGAGCCCTTAAGTGATAGAGACCTTAATCCAATTAAACCTTGATCATATTATGTGCACTGATCAAATTCCAAGATTTTTGTTTAATGTGCATGATATGTTAACCTAATGGAAGATGATTTATGAAGAGATATGCAAAGGAGTGAGAAGCCTAAGCCAAGTATAAGGTATATTTAGGAGAGAAAATTTTGGGGTATGACACTCCACCTTAGATCTCAAAAAACAATTACCACATTTTCCCACATGACAACCTCGCCCACAGACCGGTCTTGGTAACTGTAAATACTAAAGAGACGAGAGAACCTAACTATAAGTGGAATTTTCCACTTAAGGCCCATCCCAAAAAAGAGGTAAGAATCTCAGTCCTCGCTTTCTTTTGCAGGTTATCCACAGACCAATCATAAGAATCGTTTACTTTAGAACCTATAACGAAGAAATAATGTGATCCCCGTATATAGTAGATAAGATATCACACTAGAGACCAAAGGGATCTGAGATCAACCTCTAACACCAATTTTTTAGCAGAGCTAAGTTTACCAAGTGAAGATCATGAACACCCATACCACTTTTTTGTTTAGCCTTACAAATATTGGATCATTTAACCCGCGAGATTTTATCATCTCATTTCACTCATCCCGTATGAATCTTCTTTAAATCATTATTATCATATGTCTCCACGAGATCAACCACCTATATCTTTGAATACATTTTCATAAAAGAAGAGAGAGAAAATAGAAATAACATTAAGGACTAAATTTAGAAAAACCATCCCCTCCAGAGTGACATATATATATATATATATATATATATATATATATATATATATATATATATATATATATATATATATATATATATATATATATATATATATATATATATATATATATATATATATATATATATATATATATATATATATATATATATATATATATATATCTTCGAGAGCAACCCCTATAAATAAGACTAACTAAGGGTTCCCAAGTGACCTCCGGACAGGATTAACACCGACCAGAGACCAAGACATTTGAATAAGGGAATCTCATGGTTACAATAAAGAAAATCAGCAGCTAAGTCCATAAAAATTGGATCCACATTAACATCAATGAGACTACTCTTAAAAAAATAATGTAGATACCCGACGCGAATTCAAACCCCTAGAGAATATATTGTATCAACCAAAGTATCATCCAGTATAAGAGTGTCATCTGCATACTGAAGATCAAAGACCATCAAATCAAAAGATCTCCCTAAATCCAGAAAAGAGCTTCAGTTTCACAAATCATACTTATCAACCCTTCCACCATAAGTAGAAAAAGAAACATAACAATCACTCACAAATATTGCAAGATTTCAAAAAAAACACATAATACACATCCCAAACGTCATTTATTGTTGAATCCAAATCTAATAAGCAAGTAAAGTAACCATAGAAGTAGACTAGTCTAATTAATGAAGAATATAAATAATATACTGAAGAGGAGTTTAAGGGTCCTCGTTCTAGAAAAAGATGAAATCATAGTTTACACCACAAAAGAATCAATTTAAAATTATTTTTTAAAAATATTATGGTTAGTTAAAAATATACATGTTAAAAGAAGTTTCACATCGTCTAATATTGTAAAAAGAATAGGGAGACCAATGTTATATAATTGAATCTAATTCTCCATTACAAAATATATTTAAATTTGTATTTGATTTTTTTCTTATCCTCTCGTGTTAGAGTGTTGAGATATATAATTAAAAACTTGTTTTAAAAAGTGTGTGTATTATAGATTGTGTGTGTTTGAGAATAATTTATGTGTTATAACAATTTTTTCATAGTATTATTCTCTTATTATTATTTGTCAATGGTTATAGTTTTTTTTTTCTCTAATTTTAAAATTTTCATGTTATATCTTTGTGCTAAGATTGTGTTCTTTATTTGTGATTGTAGTAACTTTTAATCTTTAACATCAAAAAAGAATGTAGTGTTGTAAAAGTGTTATTGAGTTGCGGTCACAAGTTCATGAAATTTAACTTAGAAAAAAGTGGTGGAATAACTATTTTTTCTTTGGGAAAATTCAAATCCATACTGTGTTGATGTGTTTCTACAATCAAGATTATACAAGATATTAATTAGTACAAAAGCTTTGATATATATTGGTGTAATGTGTGTTATGAGATCATCTAGGTGGTTGAAAAGCTATTTGTCAACATAGGAGTTGCACCATAAATTTTTTAAATTACTTTTTGATATGTAAAAATTTTGGAAGTAACTTAATTTCAAATAAAATTTATTCTTCATGATATATTATGATAGTTCTTTTGAAGTATGATTGACCGTGATGTGATAACAATATAGAAAAATTCTTTAAAAAATTTGAAGTAACTTAATTTCAAATAAAATTTATTCTTCATGATATATTATGATAGTTCTTTTGAAATAATGATTGACCGCGATAATAGTGTAGAATTCTTAGATAGCTAAATCTAAGTTAAATATACTCATTATTATATAGTATAATAATTTTTTGAACTATGATATTCAATAAAGACAAAAAATGCTAAAAACACTCTTTCTAAAAATCTCTCAAATACTCTCTTTTTTTATTGATTGAAACATGTGTAGATTCTACCACTTTATGTGAGATCCATTTTCAAAGTGAAAGACCCACATATATTTCAACCAATAAAAAAGTAAATATGTAAGAAAGTGTTAACACTCCTCATAAAGACAATGTAAAAACTCGTGTAACAGTTTGGCTTTACGTGATTATATTCATTATGGGGAAGTAGAAGCCAATGAAAGAAATTTAAACTTATATAGATTCAAGTGACTATACTTTCCTTTAATGTCTTTTCAATACAGCTGCCATTTATTCTGCTGCAATCTATACCTTTAATGTCTTTTCAATACAGCTTTCTTATTTTTATTTCTTTCCTTTAAAATATTTTGGCCCTTGGATTTAAGGCATGATGGGTGGCATAATTAAAAGTGCAGGAGATGATCCGTGTGCATACTTTAGGGGGAGATTTTTATAGCTTCAAGTGACTATGCTTTATGGAGGAGTATGATAGTTTTTTTTTTTAATTGTATAGACAATAAATACTGGTGCATTATTTTCAGTCAAAATGAAAATTATTATGGTTGATTTATATATCAGAGAAATCTCATCACCAAATATTGCATAGAAAAAGGAAGGTCAATGCTATATACTATAGGAGATGATTTCCTAGTAATGTTGTTAAGTTGTTACCAACACAATCAAACCAGAATAAATCAAACCATTTCATATGACACGGGTCCATTTAAATAATCACCTTTCATTGTAAAGAAAAAAGAAAGAAAATCTAAGGATAGAAATGTGAATACTAGAGAAATGGCTTCCACTAAAAGCTATAGCACAGTCAAGAACAGCACAATCAAGTCCTTGGGATGAACAAGCCTTTAATCAACTATGGCCAATAATAATAACACATTCCAAAAGTTCAAACGGTAAAATGAACATTATTGTGTTAGCTAAACATGTGATAATGGTAATGAAGGGCATGTCTCTCCCCCACAACAAGGAAAAAGAAGAATCTGATGTTCCAAAAAAGCAAAAATCAACTATAAAGCACAAACGTTCACAAAATCCAGCAACCAGTGCACCAGTCCATCTAACACCTAAAGGGGGATAGTTTCCCCATAATAAACTTAACATAAGGTTTCCTGTGATGTTTATTCAATAGTAAGCCTTGCGGGGATTGTTCTGTAAAAACAAACACGGCACATCATGAAAACAGGTTATATAGATATTAGTTAACAACTCAGAAATTACTGCAGAACAGTTCATAATAAAAACGGTAATTTACCAGAGGATTCGGTCTGTGACGGTAGCCAAGCATCATCCTCTTTTTGTACTGCTCATAGATGTCATCTTCAGGAGTCACCTCCCCAGGTTGGACAGCACCTACCCCCAAGTTATCTTTCTTCACATTGCCTGCCACGATAGGATCTGAAATACCCTTCCTAGAACCACCTAGACCCTCACCTGGAAATAAGATTATCATGAAAGAAATGACTAGTTAAAAGCACCTTATATCCACATACTGATTTTTAAAAGAAATAATAGGAAAAAACTACAAGTTATATTTCACATCACCGTACAATGGTTGGAACTTGTGGATTCTCAAGCACAACATATGTATTCATCAACTTAAAAATGAAAAAGAGGAAAAAGACAGAGAAGTAATAGGCACCTTCTTTCCAACCCATTTTTGATAAAAGCCTGTGGCCTACATTATCCGCCTGAATTTTGGCCTTCTCTGTAGCCTCCTTAGCAGCTTTCATTGCTGCAGCGTCATTACAGCTAGCCAAGAACTTTTCAAGTTCTTCCTGAGGAATATAATCACCCATGTGATGGCCCTTTTTCCCTGAAGCAGATGCTGTTCTCAAGATGAAGCAATCAAGAGATTACTATTTTTCCATAGAAGTTCACAATTCAAACTTTGTTAGCTAAAATGAATATAAGTACAATAAAAACCAAGTAATAATCACCATCAAAGGTTGAAACTTGAAGAGAAGGAGGAGGGGGCATCTCATCTTTTGAATGCTTAGGTTGTTTGAACTTCTCTTCTTGTGCAGCTTTCTTCATGTAAAACTCCATTAGCGCTAAAGAACTGGCACTTGTTGATCCACTGGGCTCATCTGAACAGATATACAAAACGCATATCAATAAAATCTTGAATACAAAATACACGAGGTTTATGACAGCTGAGTCCTACACGATCAGATCTTTTCTTTTGGACAAGTTAATCTCAATCCAACAATCTGAACATAATTTTTCATCCACCAATCCTTTGACATCAGCATAATGACAGATCAAAAAGACATAATCAGAAGTACATAACCAAAACAAGCATGCTGTATAAGTATCCCTTACCCGAGCTTCCAACTGAAAATGCTTGAACTGAAGATCCAGAAGTCCTTGACACTTCAACGCTATCATATAAAGCAGAGGCAGGGATTTGGTAAGTTGAATGTTGCTGGGATGATCTCTGAGGACCATTTGTTGGTCTGGAAGATGGAATGCTTGTCACTGAGAATTAAATTGTTCAACATACAAGCCAAACTAGATTAAACAATGTGAAGTAAAAAAGAGAAATCATATTACAGGAATGAAAGCCAGAGGCCTAATTACAAAATATAACCTCATAAAGTACAACTATGACAACACTCAACACTTCTTATATCTACACCCTGATTGGTGAATGAAGGATACATCCCGTCAAAAGAACAATTGTAGTTATGACCCCCAAGAAATGTGAAAATTCATTTCCTTCCCTGATGACACAATTGCCTATGGCGCATAGCGATGTCTACACATGGCAATGTAACAAGGCGGGGGAGGTTTTGACCTCCCCACCCCCATCCCTGGTGGGGACAAATAAATTGATAGTGAACCATGTCCCATCCCCATTCAGGTCAGAGAAGAGAAACCCATTGGGAACCCATCCCACCAATACATTCTTAATTGAATTAACTTGTGTATGTGCTTGTACGTCAAGATTCTAAAGTCAAGTCTACCCAAGAAAACAAATAATAAATTCATGACAAACACTAACCATTTTGATTTGCCTGTGGTTCCTTGAACTGTGAAAGGGCCTTCTCCTCTTGAGCAAGCCGATGTTCATAATATTTATAGTCTGGACATTTAACATCAAATAAAAACCTGCATGCTCAAACAAACACAACACGTTCAGTTAGAAATTACGAATCATAAGCAAAAGACTGATTGATACAAGAGGGTTATGAGTTAACTCCAAACTTACTTGAAAGGTGTATCCCCGGGGTTCTTTTGCCGTGTAACATCCTCAAATGGCCTTCCATTTTTAGCCACAAAACTTGCAAGTTTGTCAGCAACTTTCTTCACTGTAGGATCACTTGGGGGAGGAGGTGCTGCATATCACTTATAAAACTGATTAATACCAAGAGCATGAACAAGGGAATGGAAATTACTCTTGTAGCAGGCGTGCCAATACACCATTCTTGATAGGTACTCGAGGAATAAGCTGCATTCATGACACAAGATATTCAAAGACGTTTTCTCCTCTTTGCTGAATGTCATTTCGGTTAGCAAAGAAGGAATATGTGGTGAATACCTCTTCAATAATGAAATTGAGCTTAACGTAGAGGATGACTCTATTTTTTATGAGAAAAAAAGGCTAAAAATTTAGAGTGACTGTAACTGTATGCCTCTGGCTGAGGCAACATACTTTGATCTTCCTTCAAACAAACACCTCAAGGAAGAGTTCAGGACATGCTTCACAAGTACACCCAAGAGGACATCACCTCTACTTCCATTTAATGATTCAAGGGATAAATGTGACATAAATTACTATTCGAAAGAAACCATACATGTATGTTTTTCCATCCTTGTGTGTGAAAAATTGTGAAGGGATGAAACTTATGAATGAGGAGATCGACATTCAAGAGAAAAAATGAGTTTTCCAAGATGCAAAGAGAACAAGAAATGCATTGCCATTCAAAGAAAATTCAAATATAGGTTATGTAAACTGGGATGGAAAAGAAAACAGCATGAGACAAGGAGGAAATAAAATCAAAAAGTAGATAGCATCTAAGGCATATTGATTCGACAAAAAGCTGCAGTGATATGTAAGTTAAAAAGACAGTGTATGACGTGCATTAACAGAAAACAAAAGTATCACTAAATGGTTAGGATCTTGAATAAAAAAATAGCAAGACATGGATAGGCTTGGCATAAACAGACGTAATTAGAAAGAATATAGAATTGTTACGTAATAATTTTACTGGATAATTTTAATGCCTAAACTTGATGGAAATAGAACTATCAACTATCTGCATATAATTTGAGTGAGAGGTAATTACCAACATCAAGTTGTCTTGATACTTGCTCAATGCCATCATCCTGAACCAATTTTTGTCGTTTTGTAGGTGCATCGTTTGAAACATAACCAGCATCTATTTCATCTTCATCGTCATCGGCCAACTTAACAGGGGCCGGCACAAGCTTTGACTTTTGTTTCAAGCTGAAAGCAAGTTTGCCACTGGAACTGCCCTGAGAAGGTTTCTTGGCATCATTAGCCTTACTAATGGAGGGTTTAGGATTCAGAGGTCCTGAAACAACTTTAACTGGTTTAGATTCTTCTGGTTTGGCATTTTTCCCCTTCTCCTGCTCTTGTTGGAGCTGCCTGAACCTCTCCATAAATGAACCATCATTGACAAAGAGGGTAGGAGGTGGTCCCTTGTCCATCAGCTAACAGCCAAAAGGAATAATGTGGCTTTCAGCAACTCACTGTTTGACAAGCAAGCTGCAGAGCTTTTTAGATGATGCAGTAAAATTTAAAACCATGGTTTCTTTCTATACAATATATGGTGTCATTTAAAACTCCACAGACATCATCCAGTTGTATATTTATGTACTAATAAATAAAATAGGCCAGATGAACAATAAACATGAATGCCAAACCAGACACCATCTATAAGACAATAAACGTCACCACATATCACTCGTAAATGATGAAATATATGTGAAGACAAAAAGCCATTGAATTAAGAAATGTGTTATGAGAACAAACATCAATTAAAAGCCCCCCTTGTGCGTCAAGTTTCTCCAAAGTGCAAACTAAAAAGTCCCCTTTGTTCAAAAGACAAAATGCAAGACTTCGCAGAAAAAGAAATATAAGAAACAATAATTAAAAATTCCCCTTAGCTCAAAAGATAATATATTTTCATATTTTTTATTGATCTGAATTTCCATGACAGGCATTCTATGCTTCTTCCTGTTGCTATACAAGCAGAAGATATCCAATATGGAAGCAATGTATGAACTGAGACACAAAACAAGATTTTGAAAAAATAATGCCTTGGACGAATAGTCTAAGAAAATCCCATTCCTAACACCCTCCCAACATTTGAAGTTTCATACCTGCCAAATTAAAAAGAAAACCCTCCTTAGAATCCAAGTTCATAAGCAAAATTATAAAGTGGCAATGCTCCAAAGTTCTAGTTTATCTTAAACCAGTTTATTAACCCATTATTGACAACGAAACTCAATACCAAATAACCACCACAAGAATATGCATAGTTACCACCGCAATTAAACCTACTCCGCCATATTATGTCTACTTCACAATACCAAAATCCAAATCTTTTTCTATTCGCCTATGCCGCAGAAATCATAAAACATCTTTATTTACAAAGGGAAAACTAATAACATATCCAACTTACAGTAAATCAATTCTAGCAACCCATGATCTAATTATAATCATATAAAAATAAAACCTTCAACGTAATTCCAATACCCTATTATCATGCTAAATTCATATGAAACTACAACACCAACCAAAACCCAGATCTAGCACAAATTTTCAAAACCGAACTTAAGGGGTAAAAGTGTCACAACAACATTAACCTAACAAAAAACCCCAATCTAATCAACCTAATCAAACCATATGATCCTAAACTGCAAACCCTAATAGGATCCAATTTCAACCCCTTCAACAGAGCTACATCAAGTGATAAACAATAAACTGAAGAAGAAAAAAGCTACAAATAACAAAATTGAAAGAAACAACGTTGATAAAACAAGTCCGAGAGGCTGACCTAATAAAATTTATGGGAGAAATTCGATGCAATCGGTGATGAATTGAATGGAGAAGAAGAAGGATGCTGCAGAAG